ATTTGACGGATGTTCAATAGCTTTGGTTGTCGTTCCACTAAACGATAGGTCAGTAGTGTATTCAAGAAATCATGGGAATTTAACGTACGTAAAGGGTATCGTGAAATACTTCCGGGCCAGTTGCATACAATTCCCAGCCAAATTTCATTCTCGCATACTGGATTAGATGACTCGCGACCTTGATATGCCCCACATCTGTTGGGTGGTACGCTGGCCCAATATCGTTGTGTTGCATCAAGCCGGTGGTGTTGAAATAAGATACGAATGGAGTAGAGGATCGATTGGAAGAATAAGTAGAATTGGTATGCGGATTGTACAATATTGGATTGGACAAGTATTTCTTGGAGTTGAAATGTTGATATATGTTGTATATTTCAGATGCAAATCCTTGAGCTTGAGCGTAAGAATTTCCATAGGCAAAGAAACCCTCCCAGAGAGACTAATTGTATCAGTAATGTTCATATGCAGCCTGTGAACTTGGTCTTACCATCAGAATTATTTGAGCGTTGGGCCAGACAGCATGAATACCCTCAATCAGTAAGGTATACTGAGCAACGTATTCAGAACTAGTAACGTTGATCGCGCCATTGCTGTCATTAGTCCCCAGGTTGATCACTACAATATCGGCATCATCTTGCTTGGAGAAATCCCAAAGTTCTGGTTTATCGCCCCATATTTGAGTGGCCCGAGGACTAGTATCAGAAGTATAGTACCATTGGTGAAACATTCCTCTGGTATTGCCCCAACATAATTGGTCGACCAAACAAATTCCCGGATATGCTGTAATGGAATACTCGGTGTTTCCAAGACCGGCTCCCATACCATACGCAAAGCTTGAGAGCCCTTCTAAGGTAGCTGTATAGCCCGAAGAAAGAGAATCTCCAATGAATTCGATAGTCCTTGAAGATTTGGGAATCTTGATCAGACTTTCGCCTTTACTCAAATGGACGGCAGAGATCTGGACACCATAGGCCCAATTTGTGACTCTGAGCTCAAAAGTTGATGGGGTGATAGGCCAGCCGACATCTATCGCAGGTGACTCTGGACTAACTAGTAAATGCGTGGCATTTGTAGTGATATTTGTGAGCTGCCAATCCTGACCATTCACTCGATATCCAATTAAAACAGTGTCCGAGGTCAAAGGCCCAAATGTAATGGCGACTTCCTCTCCCGTAAATCCAAATTTGAGTCCGGGTGCTCTAAGGCTTGTTTAGTCTTCTCTCGCCTTATGGATGGAATTCAGAAGAGATAACTTACGACCACCAGGAAACATATTTACGGTCCCATCGTCCTTTGTAGGAGAGTTCTGGCGCGCTGGGAGGGTAGTCGGTGAAGTCATGGCCACTGAGTTCTATCTTCGTGTCTGGATAATTTGTGATCCGGACTTGATCATTCTGCCAAATTGTTGCAGTTACCATGCAAGAAAAAGATAGGATTATACTTGAAATCATAGACGACTTCATTTTGACAGTGCGAGAGTTACACAAACAACAACAGAAGGAATCGCAGAAATCATATTGCTAAAAGACCGTTACTTATAAGACTGCAGATATCTTGAAGCAATATTGGCAAGGTCACGATCGACTGCGGGGTAATTGCCCAGCGAGCGGAAATGGGGCATTTTGTTTTCCCGAGGCGGCTGTATAGTAGGCGCACTCTATCCAGACTCTCTGAAGAAGATGTGCAATAACGAGAACACTTCTCGGGACTGATGTCCCGAGTACTGTCAATCACACTCACGTAGCTGCTCATGCACTACATGGGAGCATCTGCACCGGAAGATCGAGCCGCACTCGCGAAGGTGTACACATGTACATGTATATATCGTGTCAATGGGGCCATTGAATATTGACACGATATGGATTTCCTTCCCTTGCTCCATAGGTTTCTTATCCGGCAGATGAAAGGGTATGATTTGAGATTCTTACATCGACAATGAACAGTGATGTTGATGTGAATGTTAATTTTGATGTTGTTGAGTGATGCCAGTCTTCAGGTTGATAAGATGCACATGGTATGATGCTTGCATAACGTTATGAATAAATGCACAAAAGATTTATGCATGTACCACCATACTCAATCTTTCTTAGCACCGAATGACCACTTCAATTATCCGTAGTTGGCGGGAGGAAGGTCGCACACAGAACGACCATCGTTGAACTTCTATTCTCAACCACTCATCGCCATTGCTTTCATTCTTTCCCGTGTATAATTATATTTGTTTAATTTGAATTATCCTTTAATACTAGACCACCTTCCTAACGGAAATCTACCCATACTTTATACTCTCGTGCGGAAATCACCTTGAATCAAAATACTGTAGAGGAGGGAACAAGTGAATGAAAAGAGCCTACTTATCGTTCTCAGCTGATCTATTCACTCATATATAAAAAGAAAGGCATCCAAAATACCGGAACCGATTGTGGATCTTATATTACCTGGTTTGACTGTCTATCGTCAAAGCTCAGCTCTCGTGGAACCAAACTTTGAATCTATACTATCACCAAGCTAAGGGGGAAAGGACTCCTGGAAAATGATCTTTCCTGAATCACAACTACCATGAAGTTTACAGCGCCTTCACAGTTCTCTGTGAGGGTGTCAAAATCATCTAGTAGACTTCTGTCATCGCTCGGCATCATCCAGAATTCATCGCATTACCAAGAGGTCTAGAACCAATGGCCTCACCTGCCCCATCTGTGCCAGATACCCAGCTCAACTTAACCGCTGATGAAATTGCTCTCCTTCGACACCATCAAGTCCAAGCTGCCGTAACTGCAGGCTCCAGCTCTTCTCGCGCAGCCTCGCGAGCCTCGTCACAAGGTCTCCTCCTACTCGATACCACTTCACTCGCAGCTCTTGGGCGTCATTTCGACCATCTCATATCACAAATCAGTGCGAGACTTGACTATCTATCTGAGCAATCTGCTATTGTTGCACAGCAACAATATGATAATGCGGGGAACGCGATTGCCATGGCGGATGCGGAAATCGCACGGTTTCATGATATACTCAGACAAATCGATGAGCTGGAATTGGATTTCGACCGCATACGTCATATCAGGGATATTGTGAGGAGTTACCGACAGAGAGTTGAGGAAATGGAACAGGCTGTGGATAGGAGCGCTAGCGGGCATACGAGTGGTAGTAGACATCGGCATAGGCATCATCATGAGAGCTCTGGCAGTTCGAGAAGACATCGAAGATGAAACCGCTAGGCATACAATATTTGAATTGGAGAACGGAACAAAAACTCCATTATCTGGATCATTATATACTGGGCCGATTAATGATATAATGGAGGTGAAGGGGAAGGGGGCGGTTGTATTCGCTTGGCTGGACTAAAACGGGAATCAGTGGAGAAACCAGGCTCGGACTCACTGAGAAGAAATATCTGCCTCACGGCTGGAGAAAGGATAGCCTCGCGGCCGGCGTTTGATTTGAAATCTTTTGTTTTTTGACATTATTTCCTTTTAGGATAGCGCCAATACGCATTTTCCGATATTAGGGAGATATCAGGTTTCGAATGTAGATATTCGAGAGTTTATCTCATGAGTTTGGGGCGGAGCAAGCGATTGACTTATCATACTGAAAATGTGTAATTTATTATTCTTCAATGTCTAATTTTCCGGAGATTCATACTCTTGATTGGACGGCTCGATCAATGTTGTTGGACTGGCAAGATTAGTCACTAAATGTCATGTCGAGCCCGCTTTGAGATCCTCGTTTACATGTCTTTTCGTATGTTTCTTGATGTGATCATTGATGACGATGATATCATTTGGAGCCACGATGAGATGAATAAACCACACCGGGGCATTTGAGATGACCTCATCTAGCTGCGGCACCTACGACAAATAGCAATCTTCCTACAGCAGTCACCCAAAGCTTCAATTCATATACATGCCAACGGAATCAAATAATCGAAGCGTTCCTTGCTAAGTAATTAAAGGCACCCACACTTGTTCCTCTGTTTACCAAAAGTTTTGGGGAGCTTCGAACCGCCCAAGATCTATAGCGATGAGGATGATCAAAAGGCTAGTCAAAGACCATTTCTTGCCCCTATCTCAACTGAAGGAGGAAAGGGGAAAGTAGCTTTCTCAGTTGTATATCACATTGCTTTGCGTATGAGAATAGCCCCTTGATGAAAGAGTGCGTTTTGGATTCCTTTCTTGGAGGCTCCGTTGTATGAGGGCTTTAGGTGAGAAGCTAAAGACATAGGTTGGTTACCCGGGTAGTTTGAGGACGGAGATCACATTTTGATAACATATTCTCAAGTGTGATTTTGCAGAGGCAAAAGCTTGGTTGCTAGGGTTTGTATTGCTGAAGATTACAATTATTTTCTATTTCTAATAGATGGGTGCACATACGCAACAGACGTGTTATTCCTCATCGATCCAAACGGCGTTCCTCTCATTGCCCTCATAATCGCTAGTCATTCACTCACTCTGATTTCATCTCAACCACTAGGTTATTCACCGAATGTCAATCTACACCCGACTGTTCGTCGTCTCATCCCGCCATCGCCCACCGGCAAAATCTGCATGGAAAAATGCAAAATGAGATTGAACATACAACAGTGGGGATTCGCTGGTGGTCACCCACCCAACTACTAATCCACCGATCTGAAGCTTGTGTATGGCAGAGCGGACGGGATGCCCAATTCTCTTCAGTCTATGGTCGTATGTGACAAACGGCCGAGATTTGGGCTATATGTCATGATTGTAAGAAGACTGGTAGCTTGTGAAGAGTGCATGGTCTGGAAATGAGCCAACCCCCTATGGTGTTTTGCTTGGCTTCGATCTTCAAATCCTGACGTTAGTCTTCGCCATACCGCTGACTACAATGAACTCATTCCTTCGATCATTAACGCTGGTCGATGTGACATTAAGATGAAGTCTTTGCGGATTTGACTTATGTAAGACTAGCATGCTACAATAATTCTAGTCAGATGCGTCTGCTACTTCCCATGCTTCCGATGATTTATATTGTAAAATAATGTTTCAGAAGTGCGGCGATGAGTGTCGCATCCAATCCACAGGCGAGGTCACTGAATCGTGTGTAAGAATTGGCTCCTGAGGAATGGCGGCGGGGAGCTCTACAAGCGTGCGAGGTACGCTCAAGTTCGACTCCTCCGGGCCTAATGGCCAGTCGGCCCGTGTACTTTCGGGAATGGCTGGAAGCGGTTTGACGGGCGGCGCAAGTGGTGGAAGGCTTCCCCCGTAGCGTATGTCATAGCGGAGTTTTCCTACAGGTATATGGTGAAGTGGCCCCAGGCCTGGAGCGTGGTGCGATTGTGGCGTCACTGGATGAGAATTTGAATAATCGGGGATAGCAGGACGCCCTAAGGAACTCGCCAATTTGTAGCTCTCTTTTACTTGAGCCCAGTTTTTTCGACAGTGCAGTCGATATAGGAGGGTCAGAATGCCTTCTGCGCTGTCCGATGTTTCTTGTATTTTGGAGGAATCAATTGCCGAAACTCCAGACCCAAGCCGTTTGAGTGTCAAGATTGGTGGATCAATGAGTTCCCATGACCTTGAGTCGGGATATTCGAATAGATGCCATGGCACATTTGAAGGTTTGAAGAATTGCTGGTCGATTGGGCTCCTAGACTCGGTAGACAATAACTTTATTTGGTCCCAGACATCGTATGATAGTCTCGAAGATTCTCGATCTAAATAGTACCTCACGAACCCAATGATCCAGTATTGTTCGACATCCATGATTCCAGTTCCAAGGCTAGAATTGATCGCAGATACCGACTTGAGATGGAAAAACCTGCTCATGATCCCTGGTACGAGTATATCATGTGAATCACCGAAGTCCGTGGTTCTAATGACACCGATGGTACGCGATAAGAGAGTTGCAACTCTTACCCATGGATTATGCTGACGATGGAGAAGCCCATGGCAGTAATAGATTATAGCTTGGGCATCTGCAGCGTCTCCACAGCGACTACAAGATGGGAGAGTCAGTATATGGCGGTTAACGAGATATGTGAAACCAATTTAGGAAAATTATGGGATTTCAATGTATGTTGAAAATTTAATGCCGAATACAGAGATGAAGTTTCGAGTCAGTATTGAGCATGGTGTCAAGAGAGAAAAAGCTGGTGAATTGACTGAACATACGGATGGTAAGGATGCAGGATATCAAGCATCTTTGTCATTGATGGCTCAGGTCTGTCAGGTATGCCAATGAATTTTTCTTCGACACCTAGGTAAGTTGCCATGTTGAGGCTATGCACAAAATGTATAGCCCAGAATTGGGCAGTAGGGCCCAGCATTCCTGCACCATTAAGTTCTAGGGATGGCGGTTGGGCTTCGAGGTTACGTTTGCAAAGTACTTGTAACATAAACAGAGAGATGGTATCGCGCCGGGCTTCTTTCTCTTGATCTTGGAAGACTTCCTCAACAATTGATTCAACTTCTGAGTGCTTATGATCGCCAGTCGCTTTCAGAATTTCAAAAAGTTCGGGTAAGCGATTCCAGTCATGTGAAACCAGCGGTTTTGCACGTTCAGCACAGTACTTTTCGATCCAGACACCCAATTCATGATGACTTATTGCGAACGCAGATTTGTCTTTTGTCCGTTGATCCTGCCGTCTTTCCATACATGTTTCGAGTTGGCGTAGGGCACCTTCGCCTGTCATCACGATGCCGTTAATAATGTTCAATACTTGCTCTTCCTCTCGAGATATCTTTTGATCTTGTGATGCAAGCGGCTTATACAACATGTCGTGCTCGATTTCAGACCACACATGCATTATCAAAGTCCCGATTTGAATTTCAACTTTGATGTCTTTCCAAGGGGAAATTTTAGTAGGTGGGATGTCCTTAGGTGCGAGTTTCACAATGAGATGGGTCGCTCTATAGCCTGGAAACTCCCCCTTGACGAGGTCTGCTGCTTTTCCAGCAGCACCAGGCTCGTTAAGTACCTCAATGCACTTTTCGAGCTTCTGTGCAATGTCGGAATCCTGATCTTTGCGCCATTTGCTGATGACTTGTAGTCGATTACTTAGTAGGCTGACAACTCGCTCTACATCTCCTGGAAAGTAAAGCGAGATGCGAAGGCCACTGAAGTCGTGTAAAGCATCGAGAATTTCTTGAGGGTTCTGGAATGGTCCTATCTCTTCCTCACATTGCTCTTGGCCCAAAATCCGACACCAGTCCGGCCAACTCCAACCCTTTGATTGTACTACAGTACGAAGGCGTTGACGAGCTATTCTTTCTTTCTGGCGTCGCCGAAGAGTTCCCTCAGCGGACTCCCATTTCTTGATTCGATGTGTTATTGGAGGATGACGTATATTTCCTGATGTTAGAGCCTTGTTACAGACATCAATGACTTTTGCAGTGTAAGCTTCCATTGTATCTAACTTGCCGTCAAACAAATATCGGACAGTTTCTAGGTGATGCTTGAAGCGATCTTCTGAAATATCTTGAGACGCCATGACAGGAGCTGGTATAATCAATATGGGAAGCCAGACTCTATTTGGGACTGAAGAAAATTGTCAGCAAGATCAAGTACATCCAATGTGTGGGGTTGAAGCTTACCTCATCAGCCTAAATTCAGCCTCAAAAATCCCTGTTTGATACCACCGAAGCAATCAGAGCAATCAGAGCATAATTGATGTAAATTGATTCGCTGGGAATTTTTTTAAGAAAATATTTAAAATCTACCACGGAACAAATAAATATCAGAGATCCAAATCAACCAAAGTCTAAAAATCCAAGGGAAGAGAGTGATGATACACAATCGAGCCATTTCATCCTTCACCAAAAATACAACAACTAGCCATTTTCTTTACCAAACATTGACCGAAAGCAATCTTATACATCAGCCCTAAGATACAAACTCAGTGAAAACGATAGAAATCTTATATGTAATGAGTGCCTGTCTTGTTGTTGATTTGAATTCACGAAATAACGATGTGAAAGTTGAAAACAAGTTGGTTGAAGTCAGCCGGGAGACAAAGTGGTTAGCAGAAGTTGATTTCTTACTCAAGAAACTAGCAGTTATCAGGGTCGGTGACTGCAATTCTGAGTGGGATCGAGTTACTGTTGTGTAAGAAGGCATGGTGAAGATATGGATATTGAAGAGAGAGGCAGCTTCAGAACAATTGGCGAAGACAATGTGTAAAAGTTGTGAGAAAGTGATCTTAAACATTTTGGAGTCTGTACGTCTAGGAGTCTGGTCACCATGACGTGGCAGATAAGGCCATCAAATGATGTATTAAAAATTGAAAGAGCATGAGATCACGTGGAGAAACAAAGGTATTGAGACATGAATAGATTGCAAAGTTCATGATATCATCATATTCGTAAATGGAGTCTACAAGCGCTTCATGAGCTCCCAAAAAATGACCCCACAACTCCTTGATAGATTCATTAGTATTCCGCGCCCTCATCATCGCTCATTCCATTACGTTCTTCAAATACCAAGAATGGCGTTTCTTCAGTCCCATCAGAAACTCTTCTCCACTCCTCCTCGACATCTACTAGGACTTGATCGTTAAAGGCGAGATCTAACTTTTCTTTGCTTCCTTGCTGCTCGTAGTATACGCTATAAAGCACTTGCCCATCATCACCCTCCGTTGTCGCAAGAAACTTGGACATGGCATCATCTAAAAGGAACTTTCCGGCCTGTGTGGTCGAAGATTCAGGAAGGAGAGTAGTAGCGTAGAGGATGCCTTAATCAACTGTCAGCTGTTTGTATTTTCAAAAGCGTTTGAATGAATTGGAAATGGAAGTAACATGGTCAGAAAGTTTTTATATTATCTTCAATGGAATTCAGACAATGTAGATAAGTTTTAAAGTTTGTTCATCATATAGTGCGTGTGTGGGTAGATAAGAGAAAGGGTAATACTGACATTGACCTGCTGGGCATTCGCCAGTTTCGCTAGAATGAGCCATAATATACACCGGGTAATCCTGACTAAAATTGGATGCTACTAAAATTTTCGCGGGGAAAACGATAACAGATACAGCAGAGGTCGGGGAGCCTTCCACTGTACTAGTGAAAAGGGATGCCAAAGGTGATGATACGATGGCCATAGCTTTGGCAACACGGATTCCAGCGGGAGGTGCATCGTGATCGGTTCGAGTAATGTATCTGGTATTAACCTTTTCATCATTCGATAAATCGACTTCAAATGTAGTGATGCCTTCAGCCTCAATGCATTTTGTACCGCGGATGCCAGTCCCCAGAACATACACACCGCCGCCTACCGCACCAGCTCTGCACGCAACTTGCGCAATTTCAGCGCCACCACCCCATTTCGGTACGACAGCTCCAAAACCGGGACCAAAGACGCCAATCGATGTCAGATGTCTCTGAATTCTTGGCAGCGCATATTCTACCTTTGTTCCCTCAAGTGTATCGAGTGACAAGGTCAAGGCTCCAATGAGTGTCTGCAAATTCTGGGGAAGCTTAAACTCATCCGCGAGGAATTCTGACAATCCCATCTCAGCTTTGCCTCGCCAAACCTCAACTTGATTCTCATAATCCACGACAAATTTCAAGAATTTCATCAGTGATCGCTTGGCGCGATTATCGATACTATTATCTTGGAAGATATCTTCTCGACCTGACGGCAGACGTTTCAGTGCTGCATCATCATATAAGAACCAGCTACCAACAGCTTGGAATTCGAGTTGTTTGTAAACTTTTGAAGAGACGAGGGAAGATAGGAGTGGTGATCGCGTGTATATTATTTGTGGTGAAAGGGTGAGATTGTATGCTCTCGAGAAGCCTAACTTCTCTTTGAGGGTAGAGTTGTACGTTGCAGAAGCATTGCTGAAAGTTGATGTGCCGCTCTGCGTATGGGACCGCTTTACCCAAGCGTCTGTTTCTTGCAGACTGAAGGCTGCTTCTTCGTCTCCGTAGTATTCATTATTGTCGACGTGTAATATCTTTTTGTTTGAACGAGAGAGGGCTCTTCATGATACTATGTTAGTTAGTTTCCTTCTTTAGATTTCCGCATGTTCCGCGACCAAGCTCCACAACAGGATGTGTAGGGTTGCGAACTTACAAGGCAAGCAATGAGTGCTTCAACCCAGTTCCTTCAATCACCAAGTCCCATTGCGTTTCGCTCAACGATTCCATTTTTCTCGATTACGAAAAGTTTGTGCAATTTATAATTGAAGCTTGGTGGGTCAATCCATGAGCTCACTAGCCCGATCGCTAAATCTTTGCTAAGCTTAATACAGCTTAGTGCTTGAAATGTTGAGCTTTGATAAACTTCTCGCGAAACTTTTTTTCTTCCTTCTTTTCAATCAGTCGTCCGACACAATTCAAATCTTCTCATTCCTCATGAAGATGCGGTCGTACGGAAAAGTCTTTCAGTAGATTTTTCTAGTTGGACGAAAGACTAATTCAGCGTCCTGTATCTACTGCTCTGGAAACTATGTTCTGAAGGAAGCGGTTCGTAAAGGTGTGCTACATATTAAATGACGAAGGAAAATATTCAAAGGCTGGAACTTGTTTTCGGCGCCTTGGGTATTATCAGGCATGAAAGGAAAGGTTCTTCAATCAGTGACAATTGCGAAGACTGGATCTCAAGGTTCTCGATATGCAGTATAACGACACACGTTGACGTGGTTCCGAATCAAGGAACACAAAAGCCGTACCTCTATCCGGTCGGCATGATTATAGTAGCTACAGCATGCTATTTGCCTGTCTATCGGAGAGTCAGGTCTAACGGTCGTTCATTCACCTGATGGGCCTAGTCGTACTGCATTGCTGCCGCATAATTCTTGCCGCAGATTTACACAGCATCTAGGCACTTTATTCTATGTAACACTCAAATTTAAATGTTAACTCAGGAATGTGTTTTTTGTGATCATTAATTGTTTGAGATTATGAACAGTGCCGACTGATGAGCCTGCGATAGATTACAAATAATAGTTGGGTATGTACTCCAAACAGAGATGCCCACAAATGCCCGCCTTGATGCCATTGGTATAAGATATGTTGGGATTCTGGCCCTCTCCCGTTGACCCAAACACCGCCGCCCGTTAAAAATATATTGATCGTATGATCGACCACTCCGTACAATCAATTTGCCTACAATCAATCCAAATCAAATGGCATAATTCTCCGTATGTAAGAAAATTTCGTCTTTACTGTCATCGCCCCAGATATCCGCTTGCAGCTTTGCCACCGTAGTTGCTACATTAATGCGCATTTCAGGAGGACCGCAAACGAAAACACATGTTCTCCTACCAAAGATACCATGCCCGTCAGGTCCTCCGGTAGCCATCTCTTTCAACATATATCCTAGATCAGGTCGACCGTATTCAGTAGTCCAGCCCTCCTTCTTCTTAGGTGCAACAAAAGCAAAACGCATCAGGTTCTTTTGGAACAAGGTAGGTGTTGATGGGAAGCCAAAGTCAAAGGTTGGATCTGGGATGCTATGTTGAAAATTTGACTGTGGAATTTGAAGCTTTAATTCCTCAGACTTCTGTCGCAAATGAGCAGGTTGAGGGGGCTTCAAAGAGGGCGTAGTTTCTATCTCACTTGACATCTTCGGTATGTCTTTTGCTGGAGGCGTAGGTGCAAATTCCCGAGGTGCAAATTGGTCGGAGAGTTGACCTTCCTCTGAGGATTGCATATCGGGATTATACGCCTCTGCTGGATCGTCAATGTGGTCCTGAGGATTATAACTATTGCGTGCTGTATCGGGAACAAAGCTATCTCGATTGGGATTCGCTGAGGGCGGAGCGTATTGAAAATGAGGAGCATCTAGCTTTTGTGGGGGTACTGGGAAATGAAATGATTCTTTAGAATCGCTTTGTGGTTTAGTAGCAAATCCTAGTGGCGACAAAAATTTCCGAGTGGCCTCGTGAGAATCTGGAGAGAGTGCTGCTAACAGGGAACGTCTTTTTTCCGAGTTCTTTGACTTAGACTCTGTTGTGGGTGGTGGGAGAAATGAAGTTTGTACATTGGGGTGTACTCTTGGTTGTAGATGTTTCGAGTGTGGTAATGATGTTATAGCATCTTCATCCTCCATTCTTAACTCTCTTTCCCTCTCTTCATTACCTTGAGCCTCATCACGAATGAGAGCTGAGTTTCGTTTAGACGCAATGCCCGCCACAAAACCGTCTAGTTTATCGTGGAATGCTGTGCTTAGCGGTCTTTGAGCTCGTCCGGCAACATCTACCTTTGAGTATCGTTTTGCAGTCGTTACAAAAAATTGACAATTGATAGTGTCAGGAGGTGCATATTCCCGACAAATTCTAAGCTCTTCTCTGAACCAGTCCATAGATTCTAGTCTTTTCAATGCCCACACAACTTCAATCTTTTGAGTGACTGCCTTACCATCCCTCATCCTTTTAATGAGATTTAGTAATTGTGAAACAATTGCCGTGATACCACTCCCACCAGCGAATAGAATGACAGTGTCGAATGCGGCAAGTTCTCGTTGCATACCGCCGTATGGCCCGTCCAGATAAGCACGATATGTTTTGAAGGGGCCATTGTGGGTAGCAGTTTCGAGAACTTTCTTGGTAAACCCTCCAAATGGTCTGAATACCATGGTACAATCCCTATATTGCTCGCCGTACTCGGATGGGAAGTCTTCACTGCAAAGAGAAGAAATGGTAAAAGGATGGTTTTCGAATACGGAAATTCCGGGCATACGGAGATAGACGTATTGACCGGGTCTCCACGTCATTTGTGTTGGAACGGTCACCTTAATTGCGTTTTCAGCCATCAGCGTGATAGCAGCCTCGTCACCAATCAAAAATGAATTTCTCCATGGTTTTGCCCAGTTCAAGTTACCAATACGTGTAAGATAAGCTAAAGCCCATATGGCAACGGTTGCATAAAGGTAGTTCCAGGAAGTGAGGTAGTTATTGGTATGCCAAAACAGCATGGCCACATAAACTATCGCTGCGGGAATGTGGAGAACTACAAATAGTTCATATGCGAGCCTTCGGACGATTGGTAAGGATCCAATAACGAGCCATCCGAGTGGTACCAAGCAAGCTATTCCAGTCCCATAGATAATGCCACGGCTGGCCGGGAAAAGTTTTCCGAACACTGTCATTCCTCCATCATCCCATACAGGTTGTATGTAAAAGGGAATTGTGTGTACAAGAGCTAAGAAGAGACACAAGTAGCCTCCCCATCGATGAAAGACGCCAAGCCGGTCATGACCTATTCCTGTTATCCAAGAGATTAGATTGGACTTCATGGCTGTGAGAATCAACCATGGGGTCATCGCCACAGACATCATTCCTGCTCTGACAGCCAGTGGGGGGATCCATAGCGAATACTTTCCCAATAGAGAGGTTGAGGTAAGAAACACTGGAGTGTTACAAAAATAAGGCCAATTATCAACAAGGCGACAACCGCCAAGGATGGAAATGCGGTGATAAGCTTTTTTTTGTATCGGAGTTCTGGAATTGGACGATAGAATACCCATCTGAACAATGCTAACGTGTCATTTATCAATGGTATTGATGACCAATGAGACCCTTTTGTGACAACGATATATGGCTTCTCGTCAAGAGTCGTCGCAGGAAAGAATTGTTGTTCTGATTCCCCAGTATGAATATTCGTCATAGTATATTCATCTTGCTGTTGTTGATAGTAGCGTACTAATTGTTTCTCAACTTCATTTTTGTGGTATGCTTGTCGCAGCTTGTCGGTCCAAAGATGATATGCTCTAGTTATTGCGACTAGACAGACTATAATCACCGGGAAATAAGTCCATGCCAACGCGTACTTCCCAGCTTTGTTCCATGGGTCCAGCGTATTGGCTGCGATCAAGCCAGGAGGACTAGCAGCCGTGAACGGGATGTAAATCCGTTTTGCGAGACTTTGAACGGCTTGAGATGCAGCCTCTACGGCGGATACTCCCTTTGATGTAAGATCAACCATTGTAAATCTGGAGGTGGGATTAATTTCCCAAAGAAAAGGAGATATTAGGTGACTTGTATCGAAAATATCCAGTTCGAAATCGATGTGAGTTGGCCTACACTTGTCCGAGCAGCGTATGTTCAAAGAGCTCGACAGATCAGTTTCAAAGCGGTCGAGACCCCAAATGGATGAATCTAGCATATATGACGAACATCGAGTCTTGCAAAGCGTAATGTCAATTATCTAATTCGGTGCGTCTTAAAGATCTTGAATTTGCTAAGTGAAGAGAAATCCAGATTTCTCAAGAGACGCAAGAGCTTCAGATGGAAAATAGTGACGATAAAACTTTGAGATAGATCCAAACCAAAGCGAGACACGACAAGTCTATACAGTTCTCCGGGTAAAGCCTCGGAGGGCAAGATATATTGAAATATCACAAGGTTATCGGTGTGGGGAATGCCCGATAGTTAGTATGCCAAGGTCCACAATGTTCCTGCAGGTGGAGTAAATCCGTCACCTTATCACCTGCAACCACTGATTTATTGCATCCGGTCGCCTCGAAATATGCGCACACCCGGAACCAAATGGCGTTCAGGGACAGAAAGAGTTAGCAAAATCAAGGCGAAGATCTTGAATACCCTTATACTTTGATATGATGGGTGGCAATGTGAAATTGATGAAATGTAGTGTATGCTATTGGTAATCGTTGGCAGAGATTGCGGCTTGTTCTATATTGGTATTGGTTGTGCCACCTCCAGGATGATGGCGGCGAGTCCAGGATTTGGACCCCAAAACGTATATGCCTGTCTTGATCTAGGAAGATGCCGCGGTTTCCGTTATCGAATTTCATGCAAGTGATTCCCGCCTAATAAGTGACATACAGAGGGAAGAATTTCAAGGACGTGCGTAAATGATCTGAGGAGTTAATAACGACAATACTTGCGCGAAGGTTACTCAACGTGACTGATTGCAATGTTGCTTTATGCCCAACAGAAAACCAGGAAGAGTAATCTATGCAGCACGATCTCAGCATTGTGAGTGTGATATGCATGCATGGCCGAGGGCACATGCTGAAAAGGCATTGTTGAACAAAGTCCATGGCCAAGATTTTTCCTATGGTCCGAAAGGAATTGGCCAATTAAACTTCGAGGATGGCTTTCTCCAATGAAACACAAAAAACGTGCCCTCCGCCATTGTGTAATTTTGCAAAATTTGTGATGATTCTCTAGTTGTCTCAACCAACCACCACGCGTATATCAATTTCTCTGAGGGTTGCAGTGCATGTTGAGCGCCAACAGACGCACGTTGATTGCTTCGCTTAAATCTTAGTTGCTGATAGGGGCCCCTGCAACTTTCAATATCCCCCGACTTGGTAGGGTTGTGCAGTTCAGGTCACATTTGTATAACCATCTGCCGGATAAACTTGATTCTTAATCGGAAGTACATGGCCGCTGCCCAATTATCATCTTCAAGAATTCGTAAAAACAACAACCGATCATTCATGAGATCCCGATCTTAGGGATATTGGAGGAAGTTGAGATATAACATGTTGGAACCGCTCATGATTCATTAACACTTCTCCTGCCGCTTCATCACAATTCTTCGTTATCACAAAGACAATAACGAATAGCCTGCCAGTACTGACCAATGTGTGCGTACTATTGTCGGATTGGGAGTATTTAAAAACTTACATAATCTAGAACTATTTGATTTTGACTCAATCTAGCCATGTGCTCCGATACATTTCCGTTAGACCCCAGAGCTATATCTTGAAATGGAATACTTAACCTCCAATATCATTGAATGAATGAAGGTGGAAAGCGCTTATCAGTGATACCCGTCTCTGAACTAACATGATCGGCAGTCGACGACAGTCGACTTCCTAGCAAAACTGAGTCATAAAATTTGTGATGGAGAGAAAATTCGACTGTACTTCATCAAGATTGCGTCTGCGAAAAGAGAAAATTGGTCTCAGTGGACCACTTAGGACATCTACTCTGGACTTATCTTACTCTTTGGGCCTCCATTCGATCTCCTCTACCAAGGGTTGATCTGCTGCTGAAGTGGGGCAGCTGAGACAATTTCACACCCCTCATTTATCTCTTGTCTCTTCCCTGCAGGTACGAAAGTTGACGAAGAGTTCCCTCTGAACCGAATATGACACCTTCCCTTCGGGTCAATCTGAAAATTCGAAAACGTAAGCGGTAAGATGCGAGCGTTGCACTGCTCCGTAACGTAACCATATGGTGCTATGGCACATGGATGAGATGAGTTTTTGGCAGTCTAGAACCAACGTTGACAATTCTCAGCCTCGTCCTATCAAATTTACAGCCTAGCGCTCAGCGATCCTCTCATTGGCTGAGGTGACACGGCCACAGCCGCAACTAGCAATTTTAGCTCCCAAAGGAAAAAAAGTTCAGCCGACGACATTCGATTGATAAACTAAAGCTTCCGCCTCGTGATAATTAATTCGAAGTGGATAGATAATACAACCTTCAACAATGACATCTACAGCTCAACCCACTCTTTCATTTCCTCGCGAGACTTTCGCAAAGCTCTCTCCTCACCCATACCTTCTTGCACATCTCCAACCAAGCTCTCCAACCAATTCATCAAAACGTGCAAACGGTCGATCACCAACCCAATTTCGCGCTCCACACATCAATACTGGTTCACTCACACATGCTGAAGGTAGCGCAGTCGTGCGCATAGGAGACACTGCCGTTGTCTGCGGAGTTCGAGGTGAAATTCTGCTTGCCAGCAATGTTGGAACGTACCGAGTCGACAAATCCACCACCGCTCCCTCGTCGCGACCAGGTTACAATGAAGCAAAAGAATTGGATTTACTAGTTCCAAATATTGAGCTAGCTACAGGATGTTCGCCTGCATTCTTACCTGGTCAACCACCGAGTACATTGGCACAGAGCCTAAGCACAAGAATATATTCATTATTACACAGTTCGCGCATGGTAGATGATGAGGATTTAAGGATTTGGTATCAATCACCAGATTTGAGCGAGCAGGATAGAATGGAAGATGATGATGAACCAGAGACCGTCGAACCCGAAGTTAAGGCATTTTGGACTTTATATATCGATATTTTGTTCATTTCGCTCGATGGAAATCCATTTGATGCTGCTTGGGCCGCTGTTGTATCTGCTTTGAGGAATGTGAGATTACCAAAAGCACATTGGGACGCGGACCGAGAGATGATACTTTGCGATGACGAGGTGTCGTTGTCGAAAAAACTAACTTTGAGAGGACTGCCAATCGCTGTCACATGCTTAGTTTTCAGAGCAAAGGAGCAAAAGCGCGGAAAGGACAAGAAATTCTGGATTTTGGCAGACCCGGATACTTTTGAGGAGGGATTATGTGACGAGTCAATCACGATGGTTGTTGATTGCAAAGCGGACAAGCCAAAAATACTGGGACTGTCAAAAGTTGGCGGAACTACTGTAGGAAAGGATGAGATGAAGCATGTTTTGGAGCTGGCTGAGACAAGATGGCATGAGTTAAGTCCGTTGCTAAGTGGATAATTGTACAAATATTAATGAAAGAGATTTGATATGGTAGTAATCATTCTCTCAGTGAAGAATGAGCACAGATTTCAGAGCCGTATTCGGACACCAAGATTTTGCAACATGCTTATTACTTTTGTTACAAAACTTCCTCCCCACACCCCTGGGTATATAACACTAACCGTCACCTAATCCTGCATTCTTGCCGGTCATCCATTAACTATAAGTCAACATCAATGTATCCTGAAGCTTGATAACAAAGAATTGCCACCTGTGTCTTTTCAGCAGCAACATGCACATCGTCGTAGATATTTTGTTTGTGCTACAAGGAACAAAAGACAGCTCTTGACTTCGAGAGTTGGAGTTCGTTCTTGCGAAGTGTTCCGGTGCTATCTCCTCAAGTTCACGAACACGTGTTCTTTCTGAAGCTTAATTGCGGAGAAATAGCTACATGAAGTAATCAATTTGTGCGTCTACCTAGGTGTATATCACGATTCACTTAATTCGCCCTCCCATATACCGTTCCGTGTCCAAGCCTCGAGAAGTCTCCTTTATGATTCAACCAATCAACCGCGGTCATAAAGATCTTATTGACATGGCCTTTTTTTTGTTTCATATAGTATTGCATGTGAAGAGAATCAGTGTCATTTCAACATTTCAAAAAGTGATTAGTATAAAAGTATATACGTTGAATTCTGATCGTACTCAGGACCCCTTGATTTGCTTGTTGTTTTGAGCAGTAATCCGATAATTTACTACAGGTGATTGCCATGCATCCTTCATAGTTTAAGGCTTGCAAGGGCAATTATATAATGGACAATCACCATGCCACCATCATTATGAGTCTTTTGTCGTTTAGTGACTCTACACACCGAAAGTCGTGAATCACTTATTCGTACCACGGGGGTGTACGCACCTCTACTATATCGTACATGTACGTTGACATATCATTTTCTCATTCTTCAAAGTACTTTCGAAAATCCAACTATCACTTTGTAAATCTCATACCTGAAAGCACCCAACATATTCGAAATATGCAGCTACACTTGTTTCAGTACCGCCAAAAAATCAGAGTTATTGGGCTGGTACTGTACTTTCTCATCATACCATTGTCGATTATTATCTTCGTGTTCGTGTCGCTTTCTGGCCTGTCGATTCTCAAATTAGAAGATGCTATGAAGAGCCGCGAAACAAATCCCTCCACTCATGATCATGTCGAATTCTACGTAACAAAAACCTGCCTTGTTCATAGTCAGTCTGGGTCGGCAGCACACAATGTTACATGCTCCATGCAGCCTTCAGGTATTTCAGATAGAAGTAATTTGTTTGGTTCCAAAGAAACCCACCAAAAGGGTAAAATCTGACTACTCTCTACAGATATGTTACCTCAAATTATCCCACCGGGAATGCAGGACTTGATTTCTAGGGTCCTAGAGATGGGAAAAAATAGACTTTTGGCCTACTTCCTTCTGTCGACAATGTCTATAATTGCTTCACTATGTATCATCTTCATATCCAAGCTCTCCACAACCAGGAAACAATGTATCGCTCTAGCCGTTTGCAATCTTTTTCGACATCCGACCCCCATTTCTTGTTGACACTATGTTCTAACCCAGATGTGCAATTAGATCACCTTTATATTTCTCATACTAGCAACAACGGTTATCTCTCAACTACCTTCACAAGTGTCGAAAACAGTCGCTGTAACTGCATCATCCAGTGAAATATTTGTAGCAAGGGGAATTTGGCTCTTGTTTGTAAGCTGCCTGAATACAATTATTAGCTGTGTTACTTTATGTTTTTTTCTTGCACTTGGCTGGAAAGATGTTTGGAGGGATGAAGATGAGAATTGGATTTGGGAGCATATACAGACGTACTGTTGTTGTGGTTCTCGTTCCTAGAATGAAAGCATCAGCCCATCTATTTGTAGAGTTTGAAATATAGTACTATAGATTTGACATTTTTCTTCAGGTGTCCTGGAAATAACATTTCGTGATTCTAGATATTCCAACACAGCATATGTGATGTTTCCATCGTCCTGAAGCTACATCTGCACATCGACTGTGGTTTGTACTTCCAGTCTGTCCTCAAATGCTTAATACAATCAAATAGTGTATACACAGAGAAAAGGAAGCCAGATGTACATTTATTGAAATTTAACATGAAAATAGCTTCCCTTCTCCTTATTTGTATTTTTACACTGTGTTGCAATAACAGCCATTCTTCCCTTCCTTAGAATATCTCAATATCAATATTTTATCATCACATGCCCATGAACTCGCAAGTGCTGATAATGGGACTGAGTGAACTTTGAGGGGTATATGACTTGATTTGGAGTTAGGAATTTGATAGTACATCTCGACCAATCAAATGCTTTGGTACAAAGAGGAGGAGACACCTATTCTCGCTGAGTATCACACCATTGCGAAAAATGTCACCTTCTGCTCAGCCCCTTTTCCTCTGATCGAAATTTCACGTACAGGATATCTATCTTTTCCTGACTCACCTACACGTGAGTGCATTAGTACTATACTCTATGGGTTTCAAATTGAGCAGAAGTGAATAGCATCAGTGTGCAATTTCGCAGTTCGGGGCAAATCACTCCGTGTAGAATTAAAGCTCCATGCCATAAATCTTTATAATCCTGTACAACTGTCTCCTCTCTCGCACAACTATCTTTCATCCCCGCCAGTCCGTTTTCAAGAGTCAAACAGATATAACAGTTTGCATCATGGCTGATAAAGCTCAAGATGAAGCGGAAAAGGCCGCCCTGAATCCATCCTCAGGAGAAGGCAGCGCTCTCAAGGAGAAAATCGACGTGCGTGGAGGCATCTGGCAGACAGGAAAAAATTGCGTTTCGTACTTCTCTACTCTCAGCGTCTTCACGATCACCACTCTCCTCATGATTCCTGGTCTCGCTCTTGCCTGCTATCATCAAAGAGCACTTCAACTCCTTACGCTCACTACTACATCCGCTGCTCCTGGTAAGGTTAGTGGAGGTTTGAATGCAACAAACCGAGTTGGGGACAATCTCACCTACAAGATATATCCATGGTGCTACTGTGTCTCGAGCGTTGCTGCCGGGACTGGCAATTCGGTGAACATAATGGATGCTTGTCATCAATCAAGACAAGGTATGTACCTCCCAATGTTTTTCCTTGTTGTAAAATTGCATGTCTAATACCCTTTTCTTTAACACAGCATTAACCTATCACATTCTTCCTTCCCTCAACTCAACCTTTACACCTCCTCTTCCTGGATACGATGCCTCTGGTCCTATCATGGCAATAAATGATCTCTTTCAGAACTACGCATATCCCGCTTTCGCCTCCTACGTCACCGCCATTTTTCTCTTAATAATCTTTGCCAGTTTGTTCAACTGGTGGTTTGGTGCTACCGCTACGCCACATAAGAAGACACTTATGCTCGTACTTTCCGTAAGTTGCCCATTCTTTCTCTCTCTCCCTACAAGATACACCCATTCGCAACCAAGCTCCTGACAAATCACCCCCTAGATCTTCACAAGTTGTTTCGCTACCCTTGCAGCATTGCAAACCTATCTCTGCTACCAAACCATCTACATCCTCAATCGCACCATGGAACATTCAAAATCCACTCTGAACATATCCATCACACCCGGTTTTCTCTACCTCCTCCTCATCCATCTCTTCTGGATCATCCTCCTTCTCAACGTCCTCGTCATTCCCATCACGATATGCATCAAGCGCCGTCGCGCGAAGCGACAACTCCAAGCCCTAGAAGCTGATGCACAAGCGCTCAAAGAAAAAGAAACTCTAGACGGCGACACTAGAGTATGTAGTACTCCAGCTGAGCCCGCTGATTCGGAGTCCAGTGATGATGATTACGATATGTCTCCTCGTGTTGTACCCCGATATGGTGTGCCCACATATCCTCATCCTGGTATGCAGAATCAAGGATATTATGGTCATGACTATGGTGCGCAAATGCCTATGCCTATGCCTATGTCGGATCCCATGCAGGGCAGGATGCATCAACCACAGTCTGGAAAACGTAAGAACAAGGGGAAGCGAGAGCAAGGAAGGGATCGAGAAAGCCAACAACTTAGAGGGTTTGATGTTTGAAAATTGCATATATCTGTAATACCATGATTCTTTTATTACTTTTCAGTTGAACTCCTACATTTAGGATGACTCGAGGAGTCAGTCGAGTCAAATACATGACACGGGATTTCATGTCTTATTCTTTAGTTGAATTTTCGATAGGATATTTGGAATGACTCGGAAGAGTCAGATAGAATTTAAATACAAGTTATACCTTTCCGTGATTCATAAATTGCGATCCATAGAGTTCAGTTCGAGGAAGTCTTATAAAGTTTTTCCTTCATCTCTTTCTTCTCTGCTCCTTTACTATTTCCACCTTCGCAAGTCTACCAAACACAAACATCATAACCCAAATACCAACTCCAAACACCAAGTCCAACCACCACTCAAACATCACCTATTATGTTTAAATCGCTTCACATTTCCAAAGAAAAACGTCAAGGCCACGCCCGTAGATACTACCACGGTCTCTGCACCGTCACCGCCACCTCCATCATCGTCATCATATTTATCCTCATATCACTAGTCTACCAATTCCCCGGAAAAAACAACTCGATTCTCGACATCGAAACCCCAAGTATAACATACAAAATCTACATTTTCCAATACTGTGTTTCTAGCGGCCACGAAAACGACAGCGGGGTTAGCCAAAACCCTAATGCGAAAGATGGATTGGGGTGTCATTTAGATCTTAACCGTAAGATCCTATTCTCGTTTCTTTTCCCTCGATTGTTATATTTCATTACTATATCACTATATCATAAATAATCACACACACACACACAAAAGTGATAAAACTAACCTAAGATCACAAATCCCAGCCCTCGGTTACATCGTCGCTACAACCAACATACAGGCAGAACCCAGCGATCTCACCACCTTCTACGCTTTAATGACCATCGCATTCGCATTCTACTACGTAGGCTGTCACGTAATCGTTCTCACCATATATCTCTGGTGGCGATGGTTTAATCGTCACTTCGACGCTGCAGATAAAGTTCCCAAGAAAAGTTTCACAAAGTTGATGCTCGCGTGCTTTGTGCGTATAACCCTCTATCTACCCCGCACCCTCCCTCTCTCTCTCAAAAGAGAAAAGAACCTAACATCCCCATCTCCACTTCACACCAGATCGGACTAATCATCTTCTGCATCCCCGCCTCCTGTCTAACCCACGCCTCCTATCTCGGCAGCGGAATCGCCGGCGGCGGAATCCCCAAATCCTATTCCAAAATCGGGAACCTCTACATGCTTTTCGTCAACTCTCTCTGGCTATGGTATCTCGCTTCTCTTCTCATCATTTTTCTCCTATTCAGGAAAGAATATCCCAAGCCGCCTAAGGAGAAGAAGGGGGAGGAAGAAGAAAAGTCGGAAGACACGGAATCGGTTTCGGGTTCGTTTTATGGAAGTAGTTGGCCCTCTGGCTCGGAATCTTCGGGTCCGTCTTTTCGGGGGGAGGAACCCAATGGATGGCATCGATATTGAGTTTTTGAGATACTTTCACACGTGTGTACATAGGACATTATTTTTCTTAAATTTTCTTGTCTCGTTGAGTAGAATATGAACACATAAACACATATTCACATTTACCTCTACACAGTTGAAAGGTATTAGTGATACTGAACAATCAACGCCGAAGTCATAAAATCTCATCATGTTACAAACACACTGCCACACGAATATTAGCGTTGTGATCAACCCACTCCCCCAAGCTCTACCAACACCATCTCATTTCCATCCCGATATCAGAAACTCTTCCCCTCTAATTCCATACAATACATAACCTAACTAAATATCTCACTTGAGAACTTGACATTCATCAATTGCATACTTAACACTCACACTCACACTCAAACTTCCCCTCCCCCTTCCCTCTTCATAGCACCACCATTTCATACCATATCATCCCATTCCATCCCAAAACCCGAATACATCACACCCTCTATCAAAGCCCTGAGCATACCCCAGCATGCCGCATCATCCACAATCTCTCATCCCTCTACCCGACCCAAAATAAATATACTTCAAAAGTGTCTATGCCAAAGAAAATAACAACCAACCGACCTCCCTACTTACCAAAGGTCCAAATCTCATTCCTTATATCCTCCGAATCCATACATTATGAATAATTAGCACTGGCCAGTTCGATAGCATTTATTTGACTCCTATCGACACGATAGTTGCGTCGCAAACATAGATAATCTCATCCCACATTTCAGCACCAACCAATGCAACACTCATTGAACACAAGGTCCTATCAATTGCCAATCAAATCAATTTATTGAGTGTACGTGTGTATTGTCATCTACTACTAGGTTTCTCATTTCTACCCAACAATCCCACCCTTGCCGCTCTCATCCGCCCCTTACCCTTTGACCATCGAGTCTACATTACTCTCGTACTCGATCTCACTTCAACAACTCTCTCCTTTTTCAAGCCCGTCTAATCTCTAACCAAATTCACGAGAATAGGCACATCTGAGTCCGTTCAATCCAGTCACTAACCCTGACCTTGTTTTTCAAAACCCATTCCAGTCCTCAAATCTTACTGGCATTAAAAAAGATTTCCTATCTTCCTCGACCCCCTCCAACCTCCCTCGAGCTACGGGGTTATTCGTGTGTACTCCCATACGCCTATGAAATCAAATAACAATTTGTGGGCCATTCGACCCCTCAAAATAATTCAAGAAAAGAAAGATTCTTCATGATGTAAGAACCAAAGTTGAAGTTCAAGTGAAAAAGAATGAAGAAAAGGTCTTTAGTCCGAAAGTTCATGCGGAGTACCATATCCAAACTCGGAGACGTTAGGCAAGAGTGATATACCATACGAAGGGTAATAGCAATTCAGGGAAAGGAGAACAAAATGTAGTATGGTAATTATGGGTGCTCGATGAATGTTAAACCAGACGCAGGCGTCTTAGGTCCTCATTATCTAGAGTGCAATAAAGAGACAAATGACGGACTTGATGTCGATTGTTAATTCAAAGTAGCTGAGGTGTTGGTGTTGGCAATGGCTTATTCTCAACCCTTGGCTTCCGTGGCCCTCCCTTCAAACTCTTAACTCTAGACAAGAACCCTCCTCCACCATTGGATACGGGAGGTCTGGAAGATTCCCCGATGCTATCGCTAGTGACACGCCTTTCGATTCCTGGGGGGTTAGAAGGAGCACGAGAGCGACCAGGTCTTGGTGGCAGTTCAGCAAATGTGACTGTTTCCTCCTTGATAGTATCGTCGCCCTTGCCAAATTCATTGAAAAATGGATTGGCTTCATTTACCCTACTTCCACCGGGTGTGTACCCGTCTGGAGAAGTGGCGCTGTACATGCCTTCTGGACTAGTCATTCTCCCAGAAGGTCCGTAATCGCGCCGGCTATTGATGCCGCGGATCTTCTGTGCCAATGACTTCTTTCGAGATAGCCCGCCATCCATGCCAAATTGCTCGTTCTGGTTCTTTTGAACAGCTGAACGAGAAGCTGGAGCACCTTCAAGGAAAGTAGAAGTTCCCAGGCCCATAGACTCTTCGCCATGAACTGGCTCAACACGTGTGGTTGCACTTTCAATGGCAGATTCTGTGCGGCTAGGCATTCCCGGGCGATGAGTATAAGGTTCAAAATTATCGACCTTATCTCCTCCACGAGCATAATCAAGATGTGCTTCTGCGTCGTTATTGCCCATAAATGTTGCATGATCAGGTTTCTTGTTCAGAGGTCCTCCACCTCCAAGTGAATTGTTGGCTGAATCTTTAGCGAAGGCTTGCATTGGTGCACGACGACTTCCTTTTTGATTACGGTCTGGCCTGCAGGCATCGAATGGCCCATCATGATGGAATGCTGTGCGCCGATTAGTAGTGTTATTGTGATAGAGAATGATAGTTTTCAACTTACTGCCAATTCCGAAAATGCTGGTGGCATCTAGTTGATCAATAACATCGAGAGGTGCCTTCTTCTTGGTCTTTTCTGCAGCGCGCTTACGATCACGATGTCTCTTTTCTTTCTCTAAACGTCTACGTTGATCTTCTGGATCAAGTAATTTGGGCTTTCGTTCCATAATAGATGTGTCGGAGTTACGTCTTGCTCTTTGTATTGGGCTATCGTTGGGATCTGCAAAAATATCTAATACTTCTTCTTCGCGTGGCCTGCTGCTTGAAGATGGCTTTCCAGCTGCTCTTCTCGCACGCATTGCCTCTTCCTGTGACCTCATTGGTCTATGTCCCGATGGCCTTGCGGGAGGGATGTTCTCTGCCTGTGGTCGGGTTGTACCTGTGTTTGAGCGTACCATCCCTGGTTTGTTATTTCTGTTTGGAACAGGTTTATCTCCGATTGTCAGTTCGTCCTGCATTGTTGATGTCAGCGATACTTTCTTATGTAGCAATATTTATTGTAGATTGAATTCCTCCTGAAGTGTATTCTTGTGCTCTTCCGGCTTTATGTCTAGCCAAGGAGATTCTGAGAAGGGTATTCATGGTTTGAGATGAACGTACAAATAAATCCGCTGCATTGCCTGTTAGAGCTGGCCCTGGTGAAGTCGGGCTTGTTCGAGAAAATGCCATCGTGTCTGAAGATGTTTGATTCGTAGTTGAAGAATCGAGAAATGGATTTCGTGATAGAGGTCTTGGAGGAGGTTCTCGGGGGAACGTTGGGTAGAAGAAGGCATAGCTGGAGACACGGCTCGATTCCTAAAGGGGTTGTTGGATGATAGATTGGCTGAAAGTCCAGGCGATCGATTGCCTGTTTAGAAAATAAGATTCAAGAATCAGTCTATGGATTCATGCTTGTCGATGCTGGGGAATGATAGGGAGAGTGAAACGCTGAACGTCAAACTTGATACAGACCAGCCGTGATAAGTGGGGACGAGAGTTTTGTCGTCGCAGACTTGCGGCGCATAGATTACAAGAATGATTTGAACTTACCATCAAAATCTGGTTGGATAGAGCTTAACGACATTGTGGCCGTGATTGTGATGACGACACAGATCCCAGAATTAATTACTGTAATAAGTTGTGATGAGTTGATTAAGAGAATCAGGGGAATGTGATCCGGTTTATTTTTCTATTTGACGTCGTTGTATGGGTGTAGAAAGCAAATAAAGTTTTCTTATTCGTCGTTCCTCTTTTTGAGGGATGTTTGAAAGTTTGATAGGTTTCTTTCTAGTTCAGGGAAAACAAGAAGTATGTGGGTGATGGGTGACGATGACTGGTTGTTCGTAAGGTATCAGGAGGTTGACTGAGTTGAAAGAGCGAATCCGTTTCTTGGAGATTGGGATGGGATGGGATGGTTTTGATGATTCTTGTTGGTTCCTCTAGCTCTCCCGCTTCCAGAGCAACTTGTACACGACTACTGTGCTATATCGTACTGTAATTGAATCAAGAGGAAACCACCTGGGTGAGCAAGGTAAAAGAGAACAGACCGATCGATTTTGGTCCGTGTCAGGATAAACGGTGAATTCCTTAGCGACCGAGGCCTAAGCAAGCACTCACTACCTATGTGATGTGTAAATTTGTGTTTGAGACGTGTAGAATCGATTGGATACCAATATCAATACTAATGTCAATATTGATCTGATATTCCTTTCCCCCTTAAGCTTATGAAAGGCGTCGTGTCGTCCTCGTTTCTTTCCTTTGGTCCCTTCACTTTAAGTCTCAGGATTAATTGCTCGCAATCAAACAAATTAAAATCCTTTGGGGAACCTCGAAGATGGTAGGGAAGGGATAGGAGGGGGAGGGAAAGAAATGTGGATAGAGATGGGATAGGATGTGAGATGCGAAAATGCTTGATGTACAATCGTAATCTTATATCCCCGTTCGTCTCCCTTGATACCCTCTGCTCAAATTGAATTCAGAGCCGAATTTGATTCGAGGAATTTGTGTCAAGTGTGGATTCGATTTCGACTGCTTGACGATCTTCAAATTTAGTAATTGTGGTTCTCTACCAAATTCCTTGTCAAATCTGCAAAGTATCGTAAGTAGGGAACCGAGGGTTGAAATTGTTCAGGAGTCGATAATAATGTGGATTTGTAAGTTGTGGGGGTTTGAATCGAAAAGCAAATGAAGGGCGAAATGAAGTTTGAAGTTCCAGATGTTTGATTAATTAACGGCAGGATGGATGAGTGAGAATGAGGGTGTAGCTTGTATGGATGTATGGATGTATAAATTTGACCGTTTCCTCTTTCGTTGGAATGAAGGAGATGAAGAAGTCGAGGGATCGAGGGATAGAGGGCGAGAAGGAGAGGACGAGAAGGAGAGGACGAGGAGGAGGAGGGAAGAAGCGGGAGTTTTATGCGGAATCCACGGTGTATAAAAAGCGGGGGAGTAGCTGTTCGTCCTTTTTCTTCGTATCTCTTCTCTTTTCAATAATAATGATTATGTAGGTATGATAATCTGATTGTAGGTGTGATGTGACGTGATTGCGTATATTGTAATCGTCCCTTTGAAGGTAATCTATTCCCTTTTTAATGACTTCGATCAACAGAATCTACCCAGGTAGGCATGTATTTCAAATTATCCAAACGGGTAGAAGCGTAGGTAGGCAAAGTTCTTTTTTGGTGCGATGACGATGTCTTTTGATATGACAATGCAACTTTCTTTTTTGGTGGTAAGAAAACGATAGTTAGGCGAAGAACGATTGATAGCGTTATGTAGTATTTCCTACTGTTGATGTGTATTGTGCAGTGTGGTGCAGTAGTGAATGAGGTTATTCAAAGAAGCTGTGTAGAAACTGCACGGAGTATGTGGTAGTGACAGAGAAGATTGAGTATCGATGAAGTCTCTGGGTAGTATGCTTAGAGGGGAAGAGGAGAAGAGGTGAAGAGGTAAAGAGGTAAAGAAGAAGCTTTCTTCCTTTTTTGGTAAATTATGAATGGATCAAAACATCAGATGAGCAGCTGATGAAGGTATCTCTTGACCTTTTGAATCACACTTCCTTCTGTATTTGGTAATTGTCTAGTGTGTAGTATGTAGCATGCAGTATCTAATATCTAATATCTGATGAATATTACAAAAGTATTGGATGAATAATGGATACCTAATACCTCCCTCCCTCCCTCCCTACCTCCCTACACTCCTTTGAATCTTATATCTCTTCAATCTTCTTTCCTTATTGCCTTTTCCTCACTACCTCTTCCCGATTCCCTCTGTATGTTGTACTTTTCTTTTTGCATCAATATCCAATGCCAATATAAGATTTTCTAGAAGGGGTTTGGACCCGGGCCAGGAAGCTACTTAAAAAGTTCGGGGAAACCTTGCTAATATTTTGATACCATCATCCAAACGAAATGTGAAATCTCACCAAAATAATGCAAAGCCTCAACTCCTATAAGCAGGCACGACTCTGTGCAAATCCGAATGCAACCGCAGAAGGAGCTGCCAATATAAAATACATGGTACACACGAGAAATCTATTACTCTACTAACTACCTAGGTACTCTTGAGCTATCGTAGGTACCTCTCTATAGATCCCACTGATGAATCCCAATATCGATTTTGTCAGAGGAAGGATTGATTATGCCTTTTTGGCTGAATAGCTCGGAAATAGTCCCGCCCGTCGAAGTAACATAAGAGTCTATTAAAAGCACTACCCATACTCAGTGATAGTAGTAATATTTGGCAAAAGCCATTGACTTCTGAGCCACCCCAACCGAGAGTCTGTGGAGGAACACTTGCCTGGATGAGTTTAGTTTGGCGTCATTTAACTTGACCGTCTCCAAAGGAACCGGCTGATGGTATCCAGTAGCAAGTCAAGATCGTACCTACCTCAGACACTACGTATTGCTGTCAGACCTCATCCCGATTGTTCGAAAGAGCTTCCTCAATATGGGGAAGGGGGGAAGAGGGTTTGGCAATTGGTGTATCTCAAGACTCGTGAAAGATCGTATAGAAGAGTAGTGTTCCAAGTGCACCTATCATCAGTTGATGCCAAGAATTGGACATATTTGAAGATTCTAGATTCTTTTGTGTGGAAGATTCAATACAGAAAAATGGATCGATTTCTTTCAAGTTTCCACTCGTCAATATTTCTTGTTGCCGAGATTTGTTTGTACTGGCTCGACTGACCACTGGACACATAAATTTGACAGCAATGCCCAATGCCGAGAACTGGAGATTCTGAACATCCAAGTGGATCTACTAGCCAGCGTCGCCAGGGAGGAAAGATCTCAAGAGGGGTTGGGAATAGGGGACCTATGATAGCTTCAGGTACAAGAGTCAAGTCTCCACTCTAGTTAGTTAGTTTGATGTTCCTGATGTTTCTGATGTTCCTCATTTTAAGCTTCAAAGCACCAACAAAATTTCATGGAAAAAAGGTCTAATTTTATAAGACCGACGAGACAGATAGAGTATGAAGTATGTCAGCTTCATAATTCATGCAACGAGAATCCATCAAAGAATCTAGAGAAGTCTTCGAAAACTCGGATTCATGCAAAGGTTCTTCTCGGGCATTGACAGATTAATTGTAATCCATCATTCAAAAAATCCTTGGTGGTTGTTTCCTTGGGGTGAATTAGATAAGTACTGACTAATCGATTAATGCAAGGCCAAAATCCTGCCTAGCCTTATCAAGCTTTCATCAAAGCTTTATCACTTAGATCTACAGCCTTGTACCTGTATATCACAATCAAACAAAATCATTCCTTTCCATCCATCATACCATCGTCCCCACGCATCGAATCGTAAGCTTGAACTCAATCTTGTATATCCAATTTCTCTATCAATTCAAACTCTAGCGACGTCATCACACCTTCATCTTCCATTCCGCCTATTCCACCGCCAAAGGTTCCGCGAAACATCCGCATATTTCGCGATTTCCCCGAGCACCATCAAATACCATCCCTTGCTTCACAGGTACATCTTGCGCAACTCAGCATACGCAACGCGAAAACAAAATGACGACGATCAATTCCCCTCCGGAAGATATTAAGATGGAGGATGGGACCAGGGTAACTCCTTCGGTATCTGGGGAGAATGAGGAACCAAAATTTGGAGGGTTTACAAGGTTTGAAATCGAACTTGAGGTATGTTGGGGAATTTAAATGTTTTCTTGAGTTCTAGGGGAGCGGACTGGTGGGACAAAGGGATATAATGGAATTGGGAGAGCTGCACATATTATCTTCTGCAAGTTCGCATATGAGGGCTTGAATATCCATTTCGTTTGGTTTTGAATTTTCTCTCTACAATTCCTAATTACTATTTCCCCCTTCCAATCTCCATCCAATCAATGCCCACCTGCTAACTCACTTTAGTTCATAAATGCCATTTCTTCACCCTACTACCTAATGCACTTAGCCTCCCTTTCTTCTGGCACTCTCCTCAGCTCCCCACCATTCATCGCCTACCTCAAATATTTACAATACTTCACCCAACCCCCATATCTCAAATTCCTCTCCTATCCTGGACCCAGTCTGAAACACCTAGAATTATTACAAAATGAGAATTTCAGAAGGGATTGTTTGAGTATAGATATCATAAGTATGCTTGCCAGTGAGGATATGGCAGCAGTGGAGAGGTGGCAGAAGGAATGATATAGTGGAGGGAACGGAGAAATCAAAAAGTCATCAACGTCCCATGGGTAGACCCATCAGACTTGATTGCGAGAGCATCTGTTTTCAAACGGCTTTGCTTTCGCTCGCCTTGTATCAAAAGATTCTATTATAGGACAGATGCAGATCTCACTTGCGCTCATCCAGGTCTTGAAGGCCACCGCGATACCGTACTCGAGGAAGGTCTACTAGTAGTGAGTTGAAGTGTTGGGACATCAGGCTTACCCGAAGTCATTGACGATGGGGGAAAAGTGTTTTGCGATATACCAGGAGTTCTAGGTGTGAGATACGAAGTAATTGAATACATCGAATTTGTTACGTTGGAGAATGAGTATGATTGAGAAGTAAAGGCTCCTTTTTTAATGCTTCTTAATTATAAAGAATCCGACGCCTTTTATGATATATAATCTACACCCATATGTAGACTACTCATTTTACGAGGTATATTAACCATTACGCCGTACTGCAAAATCCCAGCCCAGATGTCCTACGCCATGTGTGCTCAAAACTTTACTAATTTTCCCAGCATAACCTGCGTGACAAATCCCTTCCGATCATGCATCTAACATATTCTTCATGTCGACGTCCCCCAACTTCGTAGCAAAGATAATTCTGCAAACCTACCCCCATTTATCTAATTCTCTCTCCATTGATTCGTGCATGTCATACACTACACCCAAATTGTTAGCCTCAATCCTCTTACATCATAACCATTCACGAGCCCCTCTCTTCCTCCTCATCCTCTACCCAATTCCCCTCGTTCCCCAAATTGCTACCACTATCCCTGCTTCCAAACTCGAAAAAAGCCAAGGAACAAACAGAACAAAAGACCTTACCCTATAAAATCCCGTCATCGGTTCATCCGCACTGCGAATCTGCACAAACCTCGCCGCAGCCACCATACCATTACACTCACTATTCGCGCATTGTTTGGGATAAGTATCGGCATTCGCCCAGGCATCTTTGCCTCCGAATACATCTTCTTTTTCTTCGCGCACAAAGGTTTTGCGATCGAAGATAGAGCGGGTGAGGATGTATTGGTAGGGACAGGTGAGGCATTCGAGACGGTTTGCGCCGGTGAGATCTTGCGTCGAGGTGGGCGTGGGGGTCGAGGAATGAGGTGTCACGGAGACGGTGAGGATGTTGCTGCAGGAGGGACAAACTGATAGGTGGGAGAGGTTAGTTGGGGAGAAAGGGAGAGGGAAGGAAAGGAGGGGCGTACAGAGAAGCATTTTGATGGTTCGGGATTGATATCAGGTTTCGAAGTGCTAGGTAGGTATTTCTTCCTTTCTTTTTTTTTCCCAATTTATTTCTGCGAATCTTTCTAATCTCTCGCAAATCACAATTACCAGCTCCCGCAAAAATCCCGAATCGTCTCGTTTCTTCAACGTCGCGCGCAATTTCACAAGTTGAATAATCTCAAGCTCTTTCTTTATCAATTTTATCAACCTCATCATAGGAACTTTTTTTTACCGTTCACTCGCTTACATAAGGATCACCCACCATTACACCGCATATCTCATCGTAACCCCAATCACAATCCTCCCAGCAAAAGCGTCCTCGGACCCAAACCTAAAAACTCCACCAATAGGTCCTACCCTCACGGTTGAGCGAGATGGGGCAGGCTCGATGGACAAGGATGCTAGGCTCTGGGCTGAAAAATGCTGGCCTGTTGTTACAGAGTCGGTGCGTTTCGTTTGGAGGAGTGGATTGATTGATTGATGGGTGTTTGGAGAAGCGCTGGACTTACTTTCTCTATACATATTTACTTACGATACAGACGTGCATACACACGGAGCATTGGCAAGATCAGATCAGATACTTTTTTCTCTCGTCTTATTATTGTTATTATTATTATTATTATTATTATCGTTTTGGGAGGAGACGGACGTATCTGTCTTTCGTCTGAATAGTTTGAGAGGGAAGGATTTGCATTAACGAAGTTACGAGGATTCGGGATTTGAGGAAGAAGAGGGTTCGGTCTACGATTGTTTGAGTTGGTTTAAGGAGCGTTATACGCTGCTTTGTTGGTGATTTGATTTGAGCTGTTGGAGGTCTTCGGATTGTGAGGTTTGAGATTGTTGTACTTTGGACGAAAGGAGAAGAGAAGGGAAAGATCGGATAAAATGACGGATCCGAGAGATGTTGACTACGAAGAGGAGGAAACGCCCATTCATGAGCAACTCATATCTGCCATAAAGTACAATTCGGTTGGAACCTTCAACGCAGTATTAGAACGCTTCGATAGCCCGGAAGCTGCTGTTGAATACCTGAATACACACGCCTTGGCATACAGATACCAGGATCGGGATGTGAAAGTGGAAGCTGGAAATGTTGCTGCTCATGTTGCTGCCTCTCTTGGACAAGGTAAGATACTTCTTACCTCTATTCTCAGATACCAAATTCTGTATTCCAAGACTGAAAGGAAAATGCAATGTTATTGACATAAAAAACTTTCCACGTAGATAAAATAATCGATGAGCTTCTCGGTCAAGATGGATTTGAATGTGATCCCCGCAACAGCATCGGTGATACACCTCTCCACTGCGCCGTTAGATGGATCAACAAAGAAGGTCGAGTCAATAAAGTGGGAAGACGTGTTTGGGAAGATGGTCTTGAAATGATCAAGATGATGCTCCGCGACGGTAGCGACCCGCGAATTCGTAATAAAGATGGCCATAGAGCCGAAGATTTAGTCAACGCTGAAAACACCCAACTGAAAAAAGTTTTTGCGGACTTCGAATATGAGCCACCTTCAGATGAAGAGGAAGAGGAAGAGGAAGAGCCGGCTTCTAAGAACGGATATGATTATGCGGATTTGGTTGATGGTGATGCCGGGGATGATGATGATGTTGGGAGTGTATACAGTGGGAGTGATAGTGAAGAGGAACAAGAGTGGCAGAGACGCCGAGCTGAGAAGTCTGGCAAATAAGTCTGGTCTTGCGTTCCTCAATTATCTTCTCTTTTACACTTGTATTTCGGGTTTGGAATTGGAAGATTGCTATACTGGGCTTGTAGATACATACATACGATAGTGTGGGTATGCAAACCGTACATGATGGAATTCCAGCAATGGGAAATGAGACGATCACTTACATTAGTTTGGATTTTCGAGGAGTGGACTGGTTCTAGAAGCATAGCATTTTGGTGTTGTATTGTATACAATCAACTATCTATATAGATAGAAATGAAAAACTTTGTTAAATTAGCCTATTTATCCCGTCTTTGTTCGTTTTTACTCGCTTCACGTCGCTTGGCTTTGCTCAAGTTGATCGGCCGGCCAAGTGGTACGGCACACAGAATGAAAGAATGTATTAAATCTACCTTAACCGACCTACATCATGAAATTAAACGAAATAATATTATAAAAGGTTATTCATTTATTACAATTGAAGTATATAGTAACACAAGTTCTTGTGGCAACTCTTAAATCAACACCAAATGCTCCCTTTTCCATCCCTCTAGATCTGCCCAATTATATGCATCATGAAACTTTGTTACATTTACATGCTTGGAGTATAATCTAACATAACCAACACGACGATAAGTGGTTATGTCAACCGCAGCTCTAGTCTCCCTCTCATTCCTCTCGTCTTGTGCTTCATGTTTGACTCTATCCTCATTTCCAGCTTGAGCTTCAACATCCAAGTTTTGATCACCATCTGCTTCATTTGCAGCTTTATTTTTAGCTTGCGATTCGACTTCCATCTTCTCGCCGTCATCTTCATTACCACTCTTCGACATAATATCTTGATTTGTTGCATACTCTTTCAATATCAAACCATGTGCCTGCCGTGTCTGGGTCGCCACAAACATAATCTTATACCTCGTATTATTAGCCTTGTGTATATTTTGCTTATCCATATTCGCACTCGCTCGAGGCAAACTCGTCTTCTCGTCCTGCGGACTAAATAAAAACATTGCTGAACTCCCCACCCTGCACACAAATAATGCATTGGTTCGTCGTCCTTTCCCAGTAACTCGTGTGTCCCAGTGTATATATCCGCAACACTTACTATTCGTATGCGTCACCACTCGATCCATCCCTCTTGCTACCATCAAACTACCTTGGATTTCCAACAATGCATCATTGATCTCGCCATAAGGATTCTGCCCCGCAAGCACCACACGGTGGGACAAGAGTTCAGGATCAATATGTGTGGATTGGAAAGGATTGCTTGCGAAAGTCGATGGATGGAACACTACTTTCCCATTTGTTGTAGCCCACGACCAAGTAGGTGCCCTCTCAACAGAAGGAACTGCATCATCCCCATAATACCATACCAATCCTTCTCGAAAATGACTAGTCCAAATCCCTGCTATATATTTCGAACTCGGATACCCATTGCTTTGCAAAATATCACGAACCAGCGTAACGATACCGGAAAAGGCGGGGAATTTATCCCGAAGAAATGAAAGGCGTCGCGAACAATAGTCTACGACCATCTGTTTGTGATATTCTACGATTATGTTGGCGATGGTACGTTTCTGTATCGCTGCGGGTGTTTGATCTTTATCAACGAAAACGTAGGGACTTTTTATTGTGAGAGGTTTCTTGAGACCTTGCGGTTCATGTATCTGGTCTCTAATCCTTTCATAGCGAAATGCGCGTTGATAAAAGGGAGCTCGTGAGCGCAGACCGTCGGCTGATGCGTGGTTATGGAGACACTGCCAGTAAATTTGCATTCGTCCATAATACAAGGTCCTCGCGGACAAAACCTCCTCTTGGAAAGTCCACCCTCTGTCTGCGAGCGGTCCGTCCTGTAGCAGATGATCGAGTTGTTCGCGATGATTGTCTCGGAGCACAAGATCGATGTGGTCGTCTGGTGGACTGTCTTTGGATAGTTTTAAACTGATGCTGAGACCTGTAAGATCGTAGTCTGGAAATATTTTCAGGATGCCGTCGGTAGAATTCGATGAGGCGGCAGCTGCAATGGTTAAAGTTGCATCGCGATATACATCTCCCATATGTTTAGACTCTA